GTGGAACGTGGCACGTGCTCACATGACGAGACGGCCGTCCCAGGGGAGAGTCTCATCAAGTCGTTATTATTATTGTTGTTGTGGTTGTTGTTGTTACTATTATATGAAAGTCAACACGGAAAGATCCGAGAACACAAAGCAGGGCGACTTGGGTCCCGGGAAACGGTCGGATGTAGATGAACCGACGGCAGACATTCCGGCAGCTTCGCGGCCAGAAGCCTGGACGACAGAGTCGCCTCCGATGAGAAGCAGAGCAGCTTCCCCGCTTCGTGCCTGGCTCGTTTACTGACATTTCCCGTTAGAACAACGTCGTTCCTCGGGTCTTTTCCGTTTGCAATCCCAGCCCCAGCACCCAGCGCTCCACGCAGTGACGGAAGTGTCTGCTCTCCGCATCTCTCTGGATCACTGTGCGGTGAGGGGAGGGCCAGGGGTTCTCCCTGAAGGGCCATGTCACAGGGCCTCCTTCCACGGAGGCACACGACGCCCTCCCGGCGGCTCCACATGAGACAGCCCTTCCGAAGGCCGCACTTCCTTCTGGGATGCGTGACCGCGGTTCCCTGACGTCTCACTGACCGGGACGGACGAGGCACCGGGTCCCTGTAACCCGCCCGCAGCTCATCATGTCACAGGGCCTCCTTTCCACGGAGGCGCATGACTCCCTCCCGGTGGCTCCAGACGAGACAGCCCTTCCGAAGGCCACACTTCCTTCTGGGATGTAAGACCGCGGTTCCCTGACGTCTCACTGACCGGGACAGACGAGGCACCGGGTCCCTGTAACCCGCCCGCAGCTCAGGGGGCGTCCCGACACCGGCCCCGGCTGTGACCGCATTCATGCCAGAGCACGTGGCTGTGGTGTCCACCCGGCTGCAGACTACACTGACCGTCACCGAACCCCAACCTCAAACTCTCTCACGGCGGCCTTTCCCACCCCATCTGCTCGCCATCTGAAGGAGGAAGCAGGTCTCCGGTGGCCGAGGGGGCACACACTGCCTTGGGAAGTCCCCACGCGCGTCCCAGTCACTGCTCACCGTCATCTCACTCCCCTCCCATCTCATCTCGGACCCTGGAACGAAGCGCTTTCTTGTCTGTCCTTTCTATTTTCCCCTCTGGCACCTGTTCTCGAGCCATCACGTCCAAATGAGGTCACATGACGTCCGCCGAGCGCATTCGAACCCAGCCCTGGCTGCCACATTGGCTGCGTTTCATAGCAAATGGTCCTCCCATCTCACCTTGGATCCTGGAACGAAGCACTTTCTTGTCTGTCCTTTCTATTCCCCTCTGGCACCCGTTCTCGGGGCCATCACGTCCGAATGAGATCACGCTACGTCCGCCGAGCGCATTCGAACCCCAGCCCTGGCTGCCACATTGGCTGCGTTTCATAGCAAACGGACCACCTGACACCAAAGGCCAAGTGACGCTGACATCCCGTGTCCCGGAAATAAAGCCTCCCTTTCCCCCTGCAGACCCGCCCACCTCCACCCCCCAGTCACCCAGAAAGCCCTCGGCTCCTCGGGGTCTCCGACCCCCACCTGAGCCTCACTCACCGCCTGTCACAGGAGTTCAGAGGTCAGTGTTCTCGAAATCACCCCCCAAAAAATGTACGCCCTTTGAACAACAGCTAAAATATGCTCTGAGTTTCCCAATTTCATGGGATGTCAGAGCTAAGTGTGTCCAACACCAGCCACTTTCCCGGGACTAACGTTCGCTCTGGGCGCCACCGACCAGCAGCTGGCGGGAGAGAGGGCGGTACGGCCTCCCTCACGCGGCAGAGCATGTGCAGTACCGACAGTGAGGGCTCAGCCTCGGCCTCGGCTATCGAATGGCTCCCGTCATCCCTGCAGAGCCTGGCGGAGTGCCAGCCGGATGCGCCGTGGCTTCCTGTTTTTTCACTTCCCCCGTCTGCCTGCTCCCGTTGGAACTCAACAGACGGGGCCCCTTCCGAGCAGCGCTTCCCGAGATGTTTACTCAGGAGCCAGCCAGCCGGACCTCATGGCTGGTGCTGAGGAGGCCCCAGCAGCCTGCGCACGTCCTCAGGGCAAAATCCCTCCGTGGGGAGTGAACGGTCACTGCAAACCCGGCAGCTCTCACGCCTTTGTCCTCTCAAAGCAGCACGAAGAACCCGCCACACGTGCCGGGAAAGGCGAGACCGGAGCGACCACGACCTCCGACCCTTTCTGACGATCACGTCACCCCGAGACCCCATCTCCTGTGAGGGACCCTGTGTGGGCACAGTGGATCTACGACTTTGACTAACATGGTAACTACTGCTTTTTACTTTCCCTACAAAAAAATGGAATGGCCTCACTCTTCCCATAAAAGGTTAGACTTTTGTAGCCTTTGGTGACACCATTTGCCAGCCTCCCATTAAGCTCACAGTCAGATCCTCTGCTTTTAGCCGGAGCCTTGTAATTAGGTCATGCGTGTCTCCTGTTTTAGGCCCCCGGAGTTCTCGAAGCCTGGCCCGCAGCACACGCATCAGTCCTGCAAGAGGAAAACAGAGCCGTGTGCACCACCCTGCACACCGTCGCCCGACCGAGGACAGACTTACACCCTAAAAAACAGTCACTTACACAACCAAGCCTCCTGGAAAATTACGCAAAGCTTCACGGACCCTTCCCAGACCTGTCTCGGGCAGCGACGTCTGTGGGGTGTGAGGCTGGGATGGGGGTGGAGGCCTCAGGCCCCAAGTAGGGAATCTCACTCAGCAGAGAAGGAAGCCGGCTGGTGTCATGGGGCCTGTTTAAAGCTCCGTGAACGCTGATCCGTTAGCCTCGGATGCTCTGCTGTCAGGGAGGCGGGAGATGACGAACATCCCAGAGAAGCCCGAGACCCGGGCCCACGCCAGCTCCCCTCCCCGTGGGCGTGAGTCAGCCAGCTCAGCATCCGCGCGTCACTGTCCTTCCTAAACCGAATACAGGCAATGGCCCTCCCTCCGGAAGCGATCGCCATGTCTGTCCTGCGGTTTGGGCGGCCTCCCCTGGGGTCGGCACAGCGGGTCCCAAACAACTACCCGCACGCCGCCCTCCTTGAGAATCCATCAGGTTTGGGCCCAAAGGATCTTTCTAGTGATGTTCCACAATCATCCAATATTCACTGTAGTCGGCTGTTTATCTAAGAGTGTGCCCACAGAGCATCACTTCCTAACGCAAACAGTGAGCCTGTGTGGGGACTGGGGCCGGAACCGTTTCCTCTCGGTGGCGTTCTTCCCCGTCATCAACTGTCCCTCCCAGGGACCCCGGGCCGGCCTCCCTATCGCACCTGGATCGCCTCCAGGGCCCCTCACGTGGGATTCCCCCACAGGCGTCCGCGGTGCAGTGTGTTGTCTGTAGCGGGACTCATGGGCTCTATTTTCTTGCAGAAGCAGAGAAAGTGCAGCTTCCAGCATCCTCCCAGGAAGGTGAGCTCGTACAAATGCACAGATGTGTCTCCATATGTGGATGTAGCAGGTTTCCAATGGCACCGGCTCGCAGCCCAGGCCCCGGCCCTCCTGCTGTCCTTCCCGGCCTCCTCTTG